GAAAACTTATCCTTAACTTTTATACTATTAATTTATTTACATGACAACTCACATGGTTGCCATTAAGTTAGAATAAGGGCAAAAAATTTAAAGAATTGTGTTAACATTTAACTGACGACGTATAACGGTGAAAATAAACGGCTCAAGTAACACCTTCCAAATAAGGACGACATTGAATGGGAAAAGGTCAGTAGAGGGGTGACGTTGATTAGTGTTTGGGAGGTAAAGGGATGACGATGAATAAATCCTTAAGAGAAGGACAGGCATGAACAAGAAATAAAAGTAGAGGGACAATAATTGACTTTAACTCAAAAAAACAAACTAACATAATCAAAAGTTAAAAGTCAAAACCTATATTTGCACTCTCCATTTATATCATTTTCGTGATGAACACTTTCCAAATTTTTTTTATCTTGTTCACACATTTCACTTTTCAAAACTCGTAAAAAACTTAATATTTTAACGGAACATCACGGCACCGTTAATAACCATTAAAAAATACAATATGTGGCATTCAAATAATGACATAGGTGTTATGGGGTATTATTTATCTAATGTTGACATTTTTTTGATGATGTGGTATGATGACATGACATAATTTTAATATGAAAACCTCCCAACCAAAAAAAAAAAAAAATGATCAAGTCCCACGAGGAACCCAATCGGGTTCCTCACGATGAGGAACCTGATCTGGGTTCCTCACGACGAACCCAATTTGGGTTCCTCGATGCTGGGTTCCTCACGACGAGGAACCCGATTTGGGTTGTTCGACGAGGAACATGATCTGGGTTCCTCACGACGAACCCGATCTGGGTTCCTCGTCAAGGAACCCAAAGCTGGGTTTCTCACGATGAGGAACCCGACCTCGTCGAATCCAGTTTGTACTTTTTTTTAGCCTTTCTTTTCTATGATTCTTTCTAGTTTTGATAGAATAATATGATGATGATTTGATTCTTTGATGGGTTCTTAAATTTTTTTGCAAGTGAATTAATTCTTTGATGGGTTCTTAAATTTTCTTGTAAGTGAAATTAAGAGATTGTTCTTCCATGGAGGCTGGGTTCCACAAGGAACCCAAAAGCAACTCTGGGTTCCTCGTCGAGTAACTCGATGGGTGTCTCACAACGAGGAACCCAAAACTGGGTTCCATCGTGAGGAGCTGGGTTCCTCGTCGAACTCAGTTTGTACCTTTTTTTGGCCTTTTTTTTCTGTGATTCTTTCTGGTTTTGATAGAATAATGAGATGATGATTTGATTCTTTGATCGGTTCTTAAATTTTCTTACAAGTGAATTAAAAGATTGTTCTTCCATAGAGGCTGGGTTCCACGAGGAACCCAAAAGCGACGACCTGGATTTGAGTCCCTCCATGCGGTACATGCAGTGGGTCGTACTGTACACATGATGTCCACATGTGCAAAAAATAAGCCACATTATTAAAAAAAAGATCTACATTAGATTACTAACATCACATAGTGCCACATCAATTTTTGAGTGCTACATAATGCGTTTTTAATAATGTCATGACGGCTTGTTAAAATATTGAGTTTTTCACGAGTTTTGAAAAATAAAAAATAAAAATAAAAATAAATTTAGAAAGTATTAATTACAAAAATAATATATATGGAGGGTGCAAATAGAGATTTGGACCGAAGTTAAAACCTCGATACATGGATTCATGTGTTCGAGTTTTTGTTGGTTCTTTTTGAGTGGTTGTGTGGAGTGGGTGTTGTCAATGTCATCCTCGTAAAAATACTAACATGATTGTAAGTTGAAACCTTTACGTGTGGCTTCATGTATTTGAATTTTTGTTGGTTCCTTGTGACTGGTGTCCCCAGTGCATTGAGTCGTGCAACTAACCTTCCAAAAATACTTTTATGATGATATTTATTGGCAGAACTCTTAAGTAAATTAGATATTGTTTATAATAAAAAAATAAATTAGATACTA